TGTTTGTTTGTTTGAATCAATCGGACGGTTGTTTAACAAACGCAACATTAGAAGAGTGTACGTGCGCGTGTTTTTTTTAAAAATAAATGTGAAAAACTTGTTTGGTGACAAAATGCCTAATTGAAGGGCATTTTATCTCGTAATTAAAATCCATGAAATTAATTAATTGTCGAACAAATTTTTTATTTTTTTTTCCGTTTCCATTTACGTCATATAGTTTTTTTTTTAAACCTTCAAATTTTTTCAAATTCGAATCCCTTAAATGAGAAAAATAATCCCCGATTGATTGACTGACTGACTGATTGATTGATTGACCGATTGTCGGCACGCTCGCACGCTCCCTCCCTTCATCCTCAACGAGTTCCATTTTTTTTTTAATATTAAATTTAATTAATAAATAAAAATAAATAAATAAATAAATACACGGAGCGGATGTGTGACCTATGACCTCACGCCCCCCTTTATCTTTTCCGATTTTATCAATTAATATTAATAAAATGTCTTTCTCGATACGACTACCAACTACTCCTTCATGTTGGTAATGATAATATAATAATAAACGCTCCACCCGTTCCAGGTTTTTTTTTCTCTTAATCCTAATCCCCTTTAAGATAATCGTCGAGCTTACGTTGATCTTTCGCGTAATTAATTTTTCTTAGATTAAAAAACAACCGACTCCCGTTCGTTGTTGTTTTTCGCTGGACTTGCATTCTCCATAAAAAAATCTCATGAAGGCACCTTATCAAAATCCTCGCATAAAAACGATTCTACGACGACTAACGATTACCGGAATGGTTGGTTTTATCGTTTTCCAGCCGCATTCCAAAGTTTTCCACAAATCGCACGCACACGCACACGCACGCACGCAGACACATCTTTCAAACGTCGGATTAACTAACCTTGGTCCCTCAACACTTTTCATTCATTCACCTTTTTTTTTTTTTTTTTTAAATAATTAATAATGATGATTTTTATCGCATACGTACGAGCGATTAATTAAATTTTCCAATAAAAAAAAAATGTCGCAAAATTTTTCTTTTCAAAACTAAGGTGAAAGGTTAAAACCAAAAAAAAAAAAAAAAAATTTTTGATTCGTCATACACGATTATAATTAAACCTGACGAATTTTCCACAAAATTGAAAATTGACTCAACTTTAAAAATGAATCAAATTTTTCACCGGTTTTTTAACCTTTTCGTGCTTGCACGAGAAGGTTTTTCTTTTTCTCTCACCCCTCACCCCCCAACCCCTCTCCCTACCTTTTTTCTGTCATCAATCTAACACTCGTCATTATCAAAAAAAAGAAATCAGCAACAACAACAACAACATTCAACAAGTTTCGAATGTGTGAAATTCTCCAATGAAAGAAAAAAAGTTCGAATTCGATTTTTTTTTTTTAATCCGGAGTTAATAACAATCGTCTGCTAATACAAAATTTTAACGAATAATAATAATAATGATAATGATAATAATAAATCCTACAACGAAAAAAAAAAAACATTCGCTGAAAACTCAGCGAACTCGAATAAATAAATAAATAAATAAAATAAACGCGTTCGTTTCCCCCCCCCTTTCCCCCTTCCCCCTCTCTTCTTCTTCTTCTTTCCCACGAAATTTTCACGAAAAAATGAGCGAGGACGGGAAGGACGGGGGGGGGGGGGGCTGAAAGTTTTTCAACAGAAGGAAAAAAAAAACAAAAAAACAGACGAAAGAAAACAATCAAAATCAAACTTTTACAACAAACAAAAAAAAACAATAAACTAAACTAAACTAAATTAAACATAAAATAGTTTAAATAAATTCAACGTGATGATGCAAAGTTCAAAAAAGTAGAAGAAGAAGGAAAAGAAAAAGGAAAAAAAGGAAAAGGAATAAAGAAAAAGGAAAAAAAGGAAAAAAAAAAACATTAAAATCGATTTCGAAAACTTTCTACGAAAATCCGCAAATCGTTTTAAAGCTAGTCGAGAAGGAAGAGGAAAAAGAAAAAAACTTTTTTTTCCCCTTTCCGGTAAAAAAGGTAACTTCTTCCACTTTTGAAATCCGAAAAAGGCGGGGGAGGGGGAGGGGAGAAGAAACGTTTGGTACGAATGGGGAAAAAAAAGTGGAAGCAGAAACAAAAAAACATCAAAAAAATCACGTGAAAATCCAATTCCAAAATTATTATTACAATTATTATCATTATCATCCGTTATGGAATTATGCGTAGATAATACGCACGTACACACGCACACGCACACACACGCACAAGTGATTATTTACCTTTTTTTTTTTTTTATTTAAATCAAAGGTAACTTTTGATACGAACCCACCTAAAAAAAAAAAATATTTGACATCGACTTCCGGTTTAGACGAGTCTTTGCCTTATCAGCCAAAAAAAAAAAAAAAAAAAAACATTTCTCACGACGATAGATAAGGGGAAAAAAATATACATATCCATAGACGCGTACGCACACGCACACGCACACACAAACATTTTCGAGGGGTCAATCGGGGTTCCGTTCGAACAAACACATATAAAACAACAACAACAACAACCGGGGAGTCGTAAAAGAAAAAAAAAAACCTTGAACCTTAATAATTTAAACCTTAATCTTTTGTTTATCATTATTATTATTATTATTACTTGGTTTTTGATGACGGAGGGGCAAATTTTTAACCGCAGCAAAATCTAAACGACAGCATCAAATGAAAAATAAATTTTTTTTTTCTCTCTCTCTCTCTCTTTACGAAATAAAAACAATTAATAACTTCGCATTTATTTATTTATTTATTTATTAACGTATTTAAATAATAAGTGACCACACCCAAAAATACTTTAGCTTCCAGTCAATAAACTCACGAAAAAAAAAAAAAAATTTTTCAATCGTCGTACCTTGTCTTGATCTAAATACAAAATAATAATAATAATAATGATTGAAAAAAAAGGAGAGAGAGAGTGAGAGAGAGAGAGAGAGAGAGAGAAACGATCACACACACACACACTAATACGCAATCTTTCGAGAATTTACGCTGAATTATAATCATCATCATCATTATTAATAATTTTTTTTTATTTATTTATTTTTTAATAAGTTAAACTCGAACCTGAACATTTTTTTATTCTTTTTTTCAGGTTCAGGTTTTCCTCTGCGAAAAGATAATTTATATATCATCGGGAAATCGGCGAATGAAACGAAAAAAAAAAAAAAAAAATTAATTTTAAAATTTCGAGTTCGTTCTCTCTCTCTCTCTCTCTCCCTTCCTGTCCCCCCATCTCTCTCTCTCACTCGTCGCGAGTATACGTTTGTGCGTGCGCGTGCGTTACATACGTCATCGACCATATTTAAATTTATTAAATTCGATATAAATACAAAATGAATCATTTGGAAAACAAATGAGTATTTCGCGTTTTATTAAATCAAAAGGAATAATCAGGTAGTAGTACCCTATTGATACCTCGCGGCCACGTCATCGTCCTAGTCGTCCATTAACAATATGTTTTTTTTTTTTTTTTTTTTTTATTTATTTTCAACATCGTAACTAACATCTGGAACCCGCGTAAAACACAACCGAAAATAATAATAATAATAATCATTCACAACATTATGTTTAAATCCCTTTTTTTTTTTTTCTACTTAAACTTTGTCGTAAAAAAACAAAAACAAAAAAACCTAAAACGTAATTTTTTTTTTTTTTTTAAGGTACGAAATAACTTTTTTTTTTTTATTATGGAACGGCCAACGGGTAAAATACTCGCTAAAATAAATTTACGTTTTTCGCTTAAAGTCAAATAATAATAATAATAATAATAATAAAAACAAATTAGGTTCGAAATATTCTCGGAATTTTTTTTTATTTTTAAATTTTTATTATCATTATTATTATTATTATTATTTTAAAAACCTCGACCGCAAAATAATCGATATATATATTATACCTCCCAGTACCTGGTTTTTTTTTTTTTGAATTTTCAAAGAAGCAAAAATATACCTCAACAACGAAAGAATTGAGTCACTCACTACCTCATTCAACGGTTACGCCCACAATCACATACCAAAATCGAATCGACGAATCCGTGTAATTATTATTACCTAACGCGAGTTCTATCCTGGGGGCAGGAAAAGTTATGAAGGGGGAAAGCGGAAGGAAGGAAGAAAGAAAGAAGAAAAAGGTTCCAGGTTCCAGAAAAAAAAAAATTAAATCTCATCCGAATAAGAAAAATATCATCGGATTGAGTTCAAAGGAAGGAAGGTACGAAACAAGGATTTAAAACAAACGACCAAGTATTTCCCTCCCCCTCCCCATTCCCCCACTCCCCCCGCGTACTCATCACAACAACAAACGAACGCTCACTTACGCCTCCGTGAGAGAGACGGAGGGGGAAAAAAAATGTCATCAATTATTTCTTCTTCCCTCCCCTCTCTCACTTTCCCCTCTTTCCCTCCGGAGAAAATAGAAAACGAGAAATAATAATCGACACGACAATTTATATATTTTTTTCTTTCTTAATAAAAGATCGGTCACGACCTTTTCTTCCATCTCTTTTGGGTCATGACTGTGACAAAACAGTCACTCACTCAGTCACTCACTCACTCGTAGTTTACCGATCACGATAGAATTAAACAGAGTTCAATGTCATTTCCATCCATCCATCCATCCTTCGTAAGAAGAATAAAAACAAAACAATCCTATGGTATCGTCACATGATCGATCGGAAACAAACCTCTAAGGTTTGTTTGTTTGTTTGTTTGTTTGTTTGTTGGTGCAACGTTTTCTCCATTTTCAACCGCAGACTCATTCTCATTCATTCGAACAAGTTTTTTTTTTTTGAATCTCTTTGGCTATTTTTTTTTTATCAATCCCCCCCTCTCTCCCCCCGATGTAATTTGGCCACATAAACCACAGACAACAATAGGCAAATTGTTAGCTTTCGATGATTCGCACACCCACACAAAACCTGAACGGACACGATCTGTTTTCTTCAATAAGAAAGCAAGCAAGAAAGAAAATTTTGACGTCACTCACCTAATAATTTTCCTCCTGTTGTTCGGATGTAATACGTCCGCCATATCGGGATCTATTTCCTTAAGCTTTTCGTGTAACGTCACGTTGTCCAACTTTTCAACCCTTTCCTGAAATTCCTTTTCCTTCCATTCGTTCGATAATTTCATCTTTTTCGCTTCCGTCGCTTTGTCAACTTTTGAATTTACGACGTCATTTTCAATTTGTCCTTCTCCTCCTCCTTCTTCTTCTTCGTCGTCCGATGAGACCGTTGGATCTATGAGAACGTTGTAAAGAACGGATTCTATGTAGTAATTCGTACCCCCCACAATGATGGGTAACTTTCCACGTTCCGTAATGTCTTTTATCTATACATATATATATATAATATTTAAAAGTTAAGGATTTTAATTTTCTTTTTTAGATTTTACAATTGTGCGACGATGACGACGATGACGACTTCTACTTCTTCTTCTTCTTTTTATTCTTTCACGATCATGATTATTATCATTACTAACTAAATTTTCCCCGAAGCGAGAGTTAACCATTAATGCGGTTTGGTAAAAATAACATTTTTTACGTGTTGTTATGCCTTTTACGTGTTTTTTTTTTTTTTTTTTTTTTTTTTTATAGGTTTTCGGCCTCGAGTATCACGTGAGAGAGAGAGAGAGAATCACCAAATCTCGAGACCTAAGACGATTCAAAGAAACCAAACACAACGATGGCAATGATGATGATGATGATGATGATGATAATGATGGCGATTTGGGTTCGTGATTTGACCTTCGAGAAAAAAAAAAAAAAAAAAAAAAAGTAATAAAACCATCCTTTTTCTACACAAATTGAGCCCCCCATGATTAATTCCTTTTAGATTTTCTTTTTTCTTTTTCTTCTTATCTTTGACTAACTTGTTGGAACTGATATCAGAATTAATTCAAACATTATCATTATTATTATTGGGTTCCTCAACTAACTATTTTCCCTTTAAAAAAATTGCATTTTTGTGTCTTTTCTTCCTCCTACGCGTCCTATCCACAACCCCCTCCTTCCATCCAACGAACATTACCGAACATGACCGAACATGACCGAAATTAAATAACGAATTGAAAGTCTTTCCAACTTGCGGTTGGAAAATTAAATTAATAAAAAAAAATCGACCTGAAATGAAGAGCCTTCGAGTAATAACAATATGATAATGATAATAACAACAAAGGCTACCATTAAAAAAAAAAAAAAAAAAAAAAAAAAAAAGAAAAACTTGTTCAACGACAACGAACGCGGTTAATGATAAAAGTCAACAATGTGATAAAATGGCCGTTTGCTAAAATGTCATTGATGATTTTTTTTTTGTAATTTCGTCTGCTTTTAACGATTTCCATAAAATGTAATAAAGGAGAAGTACATAACGATAAATAAACCTGCACACAAAAAAAAAACATTTAAAAGTTTGACGCATTTGCTTTTTTTTTTTTTTATATTGTTGTTCTTCTTGTTGTTATTATCATTATTACGAAAACTGTTACAAAAATACCCAGAAGCCTTGGGTTTTCAAAAAAAAAAAAAAAAAAAAAAAAAAACATTCGCGTTTTTCGTTCGTAAAAAAAATATTTCCCCTCCACCTCCCCTCCCCTCCTCCCTTCCCCCTACTTCCCCGGATGAATGATTTATCCCGATGGTGATTTTCTCTCTCTCTCTCATATTTTTTTTTTCTCCTCACTTATCATCATCAAAAAAAATCTTAAATTGTGATTTGTTTGTTTGTTTGTTTGCTCGTTCGTTCGTTTGTTTGTTCGTTTGTTTGTTTATTCACTATTATTATTATTATTATTATGCGTAGATAAGTCGAGTTTTTTTTCCTTTTTTTTTCGCTTTACGAATTATTTTCGTCAACTACGTGAAAATTCATAGAGAAGAAAAAAAAAAAAAATTCCACTATCATTATCATTATCATCGACATCGTCATCTCAATCATTATTATTATTATTATTATTATTATTATTATCCACCATTAAACACGACAAGGCTACTTGTCGGGGTTTTTTTTTAAGTATTTATCCGAGGTTTCTACCCGATTCCTTAGGGACAAATACTCGAATTTCGGTGGTGCCACTTATTATAAGATAGCACCACATCAATTCTTGAAGGTCTTCCTGAGTCCGTCTTTTTCGATGGGAACGATTTGTCTCCTGAACTGGGCTCCGGTGACTAACATCTTTGGAGTGGCCAGGGTCAGAAGCAGTGAAATTCACGTTCTCGTCGAGCTGCCTCAGGTCGACAGTAGAACAAGATTTGTTTTTTGGTTCTTACTTTGTCTTGTTCTCATTTTTTTTTTTTTTTGCTCTTTTAAGCCAACAGCACGTGGCGTTCTCAGACGGTCACCCATCCAAGTTTGCACCACGCCCGATGCTGCTTAACTTCGGTGATCGTACGGGAACCGGTGTGACCAGCACGCTATGGCCGTTGGCTTATTATTATTATTATTATTATTATTATTATTATTATTAAATTCATCCAATCAATTAAAATCTGATAATATTATTATTATTATTATTAATTGCAATTAACTATTATGAATTAAATCAAAATTTTTCTTTTTGTTTTTCTTATTCATTCTAATTCTCATTCAATCATTCTCATTCTCACTCAATCATTCCCTCTCTCTATCTCTATCTCCCTCTTTCTCTTTCTCTCTCTCTCTCTTTTTATCATCGTCTAATTTAAAATTTTAAAAAAAAAAAACAAAAAACTAAAAAAAAAAAAGGACTACAAACTTCAAACCCTAATATCTTAAAACTCAGGTTGAACCTTAACCTTTAGTATAAATGTCCTTGAGTCTCTCTCTCTCTCTCTCTCTCTCTTACGTATCTCTCGACTCGAACTATGTCAAAAACTAATTTACATTCAAAATAAACTATTCCCATTTTTTTTAGTTTGTTTTAGTTTTTTCTCGTTTGTTTTTTAAACTCGTCCTCGTCCTCGTCGTTTGTCGTCGTTTGTCGTTTGTCGTCGTCCATTTAAAATTTAAAAGGATACAGTTTTTAATGCGGCGTTTCGAAATTCACGAACCAATAAATTTTTTTTCGGATCCAAATACCCGAGCAAATGATGTTTGACACCCTGTTGTTCTTTTTCCGTCACTTTATTCGTCGCTATGTTCAAACCGTCGTATACCTGAAATTTTTAAAAAATTATTATTATTATTATTATTATTAATTATTTTTCCCAAGGTATCTCGTTCGCTCTCAATTATGAATCCAACCTAAACAAACAAACCAAATGAATTTTTTTTTTTTTTTTTTTTTTTTTTTTGGCAAAAAAGTAAAAATAAAATTTCAAACAAGATTTTTTTTTTTTTTTTTAATCAAGTCCTGCCTGATATTAGAGATACCAACGACCGTAATATTAATATTACCTATATATATATATATATATATATATATATATATATATATATATATATATATATATATATATATATATATACCCCTTGGGGAGTGAGAGACAAAAACAAAACAAAATAAAACTCCGCATGTTGACCACACGGATTTCACCAAAAAAAAAAAAAAATTATTATTATTATCATTATCATTATTATTTTATTTTTTTACATAAATAACTCATTTCGCGTTTGTTGTTGTTCTCTTTCCGATCGTCAAACATCCGTCAAATCAGTGCCGTACCGAAGAAAGAGAGAAAAAAAAAAAAAGAAAATAAAAAATCATTCAAATCGGACAAATATTTTTTTTTCTTCAACTTAGTCGTAATTCGCCCGAAAGGTGTGAAAGTTATTATTATTATTATTATTATTTTACCTACTCAAACTACCTAAACGAGTAGTAACAAGTAGGAACCTTATGCGGTTTATTCTTTGGTTTATATATAAAAAAAAAAAAAAAAACAATTAATTGGATCGATATTATTAATAATAATAATAATACCGGTACACAATATCGTACGATTTCAATATTGAAACATTCTCGATAAGAGAGAGAGAGAGAGAGAGAGAGAAAAACAAAAAAATAATAATAATAACAAACTCATTCATTATATAAATTGTATATAAATTTTTTTTTTTTTTTATTACCCTGTTACTAGTTAGTCTTTGGTAATAAATTGTTTAAAGATTTCCATTTAAATTCCTTTTCGTAGTAAAAAGAAAAAAAGAAAAACATGACGAATCGAATTTACATATTAATACAAGTTATAATATATATATATGTATGTAATTGAATTATTTATTCATTCTTTGAATTGAATTACCTTTGGCAACGGCAAGTCAAAAAAAAAAAAATTCAGAACCAAATTTTTAATCATTATTATTATTTTTACCTTCCCATCCATCATTGTTCTTGTTGTTACTACTCAACATTTCTAAGCATTCAAAAAAACTTCGATCGATCGATCGATCGAGATACATCGATAAATCGATTCGCGTAAAAAAAAAAAAAATTTTTTTTCCTAACGCGTGTGTGCGTCCGATTCTTAGAAATCCATGATGATATCCTATACATATTGACGGGTATGTAAATTTTACGCGCGTAATTTATAACAAAAGAAAATTTTTACGCACGCACTCACGCACATACGTACGATACGAACGTTGACGTGAAATTTAATTTTTTTTCTTCCCCCTCCCTCCCCTCCCTTCGCAAAAATTTAAAATTTTTCAAATATCATTTCGTTTCATTTGAAAAAAAAAAAAAAATCCTATACGAGAATGATGTTAATAATAATAAATAATTCGATTCTTTTCGTTAAGTAAAATGATCGTAATCGTAAAGATCTTAATTACCATCATCATCAATACGATTATTATTATTATTATTATTATTAGAAACTGCGTAAAAACAACAACAACAACAACAAACTTGACGTTTGTGATCTTTGTCTTCTGTCTGTTTGTTTGTATAAAAAAAAACTTTCTAAAAAAATTTCTCTCTCTCTCTCTCTCTTTTGATCGATATTTGTGCTCTTGCTTTAGGCTTTATATTTAACATGATTAAGCTTCCTTAATTATGAATAATAATTTATTATTATTATTATTATTATTATTTAACACGTGATAATTTTTTTTTTATTGTTTATCGTTATTAACGTTGACCCAAATCTTAATGTGTGTGTGTTTTTTCGCAAGATTCGATTCAAGCTCCATCCACGCTCCTTCTTTCATCCTCTCACAAAGGATGCAACAATGCAATCATCATCATCATCATCATCATCCCACATGAGATGAATTCATTGATCATCATTTAATCATCATCATCATCATCATCATCTATTAACCTTTTCCTTTATTTGGAAAAAATATATTGTATTGTGCATTTTTAAAAAAAAATCCAAGGTTCGAAACGTTTCAATTATCAATATTATTAGTATCGTTGTTGTCGTTTACTCCCTCTCTCTCCCTCTCTCTCCCCCCCCCTCTCTCTCTCTCTCTCTCTCTCTCTCTTAATCAAAATCCATGCCAGTAAAAACAAGAAATTAAGAATGAGAAGAAATGAAAAAAATATGGAACAATCGCAAAAATATGAAAAAATACAATTAATAA